TTTGTGTTATTTTATTTGTGGTATTAGAAATAAGTTTGTTAATAATGCAAAAAGAGATCTAGGAATGTATTTAGATTCTATAGAAATACCTAAGTCCACAATAGACACCTTAGCGATATTGGGCTTAACATTAACATCCCATTCAATTTCTTATTATAAGGAATCAGTGTCTCAAATACATTCGACAACCGTGGAAACTAATCTTGAAGATAGTTCTAATAATGCACTAATTTTAAATATTGATGATTATTATAGTATTCACACTATAAAAATGCCTACCACGATCAAGACGTCTGCTCCAGTACATCTCGCTACTATTTTACTTAATCTGATCAAGACCCAACTAGCAATACCAAGACAAGATATCCACAACTTCATATTAGTTAATTCTCAATTAGACATAACTGGTATTGAAAATCAGTTTATGCCAATATATTCACTTTCTCATAACTGACGTTGGGGATTTCACTCTGTAGATAATGAAACCAAGCTTGAAGAATTGACGGTCCATAGTTATGATATTCGTTTAAAAGAAAAAGGAGTTCAAGATCACTAAAAGATACTGTGTTTGTGGATCTTTTTGAAAGCAATCTTCGTACAATAGAAGCTTATATTATAGCCATTAATATTGCTGCATCTATCCCAGCAATAAATAAATATATTGAAGATGGCAACATTATCCCAGTCATCACCGATTGGCCCGGTCAAATACATTTAAGAATAGCTATATCCCGATATCTTGTTCACGGTAGCTCTTCTGGAATTACTAATAAAATTTTGTCTTTTCTTCCAATGATAGGTCCCCTGCACATCTCATTGAACAGTTGCAAATTAATCTTTTTACAATATCAACTGTTCTTTTCTGAAATATATAAATATATATTCAACAAAAAGAAAAACCTTGCACAAAAACTGAAGCCATGGCATATTAACTTATTGTTGGAACTTTCTCGTAGTGCGTGGTAAGAAATTGCAAAAATGGTTAAAATAAAATTTGGTTATATGTGCAAAGATCCAGAATACTTGATGCTTAAAGACCTGCTAGATAATACGATTCTATTAATTCTTAACATTTATGCAGTATTCTTTTGAGCTGGCGATTTTAATTCTTGAGTCTTTTTTTTAAGTTTGGATAATTTTTCTTAAGTTTAACTATAAAAATTATTCTAAAGCACCTTTAATGTTCCTTTCAGATATTTTCCATTGGCAATCCAAAAATCATCCGATTTTAAGTATAATGAAAGCCGAATTACTGAAATTTTCTGATACGCTTGTGAAAATCTTTTACAGTCTTTTGCGGCGCAATACAGAGAAGCATCATATGTCAGAACAAATAATAAAAGAAGCATGATATATCAACTATTTATGATTTAATGGTGATGGCTTTAAGGAAAACTTTATTCATGAATCGGCTTGGGCAGTTTATCATTATTCTTCTCAGAATATCAAAACTTTAACATGGAAAATGGCATGCTTTCTTCTTGATTGTTTTTCTGAGATTTATACTCGTATTAAACATAAAAAGCTTCAATTTACAATTTCATCGTAGGTTGCTTTGTTACACCTCATAAAGAGAAAGAAGAAAGAAGGCGATACTAATACAAAAAGTATTTCTATTCTAGCAATGAAGATAAAAGAGGCATGGCTTTGTCATTTTCCTTTAGAATATAATTCTTTGTATAAGCCTAGTTTGTCTGGTTGTAATTCTTATAGTTGCCTTACTAATACTAATGAACCAGGACAAGCAATTACTAAAGAAACAGTACAAGTATTGCTATGTGGCCATGCATATCACGACACTTGCTTTATTCAAGATGGGTCCAAGTGCTTACATTGTTTTGATTATATTAAAGATGGTGTCAATAAACATGTTCAATCACTTTTGGAAAGTTTATGTCAACTTGATTTGAATAATAATACCGAAAATGCCAAAAATGAAAACTCTGATTCTGTTCCTGAAGAAGATGATGATGATACTAAGGAATCCGCCAATATTTCAGTTCCCTGGGATAGTACAATATGGCAATTTCTTCTATTATAAATTTTTTATTTATTTATTAATTTTATTTTTTTATAAGTATTATTATAAGTACAAATTTAATTATTATTTTTAATAAAAAAAAATTTATAAAAATGCGAATTTATTTTTATTTAATATGTTTCACGAGTTTATTGTTGTAATTTAATTAAATTAAATGTTGGAGAATCGATTTGTTACTTTACAAGTATTTGCGGTCATATAATTATTACAATCTTGCATCATTTTTAATAATCAAATAATTTTCATAATAATTTCGTAATTTATTAGTCGACCGAATAATTTTCATAGTAATTTTGTAATTTATTAATCGACCAATCAGATTTTACAAAAACAAATCGTGATCTACGAATGATTTACATAAAATTAGCCAATCAAACAAACTTCTTCCTTTGACCACCGGGTCGAAATACTAATTGTAATTATATTTATTTGATCATAAAAAAATTTAACCATAGAGTTCTCACAATTTTGAAACCTATAATAAATTATAACAATTAATTTATAATCAAGTTTATTTTATAGTTAATAACTCTCAAACATATTTATTTTGTAGGCAATATATTTTGCCAACAGCTTATTTTACAAGCAAGTTTTATTTTATAAATCGTATTAACTTTAAATCTAATTTTAACGACAATAACTAAATTCATTTTATGAAATCAGCTGCTAATGAAATAAACTAATGAATTTGTCTATAAATTAATTGTTTATAAAATAACTTTACTATAAAGTTATATTCAGTGAGTTAATTAAATTTGAATTTATTTATTTGTATTCTAATATAAGCAATACAACCTTAACTATTATTTAAGGCGGCTGTTATACCTACCCCCTAATTTGTTATCGGTACCCCCATGTAAGAAGATCCTTATTTGATTGGATGATGGCTATCATATGACAATAGTATGTAGCTAAAAGAGAATTTTAACTTTCAGTTTCACATTTATTGAATATTTCAATACATGTACTTTAGCGATCAGCTTGATCTCGACTATTTCTCAGCTTTTAAATTACCAGAAAAAACATTTGACACTTATACTTTTTATTTTCAAACTTATTGTACTTTATTAATGTAATATAAAGACCAATTGAACATAAAGCAAGATCAGTCTCTAAATTATTTATTATGCCAGCATACTCTTATAAGGATATGTATTCATCTCTTTTACTTTTTTATTTAAATTTAGTTGCTAACTAATTTTGAACATTACCTTTCACTTGGGCAAGTACGCGAATTGTCCCCAGGCTGTCGACACAGAGTACAGTGTTGTCTTTATGCTCCACTAACTCAAACCCAGAAGGATCTCTCCTGGTCGAGTTTGTTGAATTATGTTGAGAAGCAATGGTAGGGCGTCCTCTTGTAGAAACTTCTTTTAGATTTTGCAAAACCATTGTCAGAGCATTAATCATATTGTCTAATGTTGCCCGTGCCACTGTTTGTTGGAACTTTGGCCATTCCTGATATCTATCCTGTAGATTCCGCAAAAGAGGCTGCAGAGTATCTTTATCATGAACAATATTTACTTCAACCCTTGATACTGATGTATGTTTTTGAATCCACCAATGCTCATGGATATTATAGAGCATTAGAGGCTGGTCATTTTCTAAAAGGCTAATGGTGTGAGCACAAGGAAGCCCCATTGTATTTGAGAAAGATCCAGTACACAAGAGCAGAGGCTTCTGAGCTGTTGCATGGTTTGCCTTTTGGTGCTGCTCATTTATCTTTCTAAGAGCGAAAGTTGAAACTTTTCCTCTAATATTTATATATAAATGATTATTGAGCACAAAAAGAGGAATATGGATACGTTCGGATGAAGATCACCTGTTGACACTTGTAAATAGGCTTTAAGAGTTGAATGTGCACTTTCTACACGAGAGGTTACAGTTGTTCCTAGATGAAGGTATGAATTTGTCCACGCAGCAACAAACTTTTCTTTTAATAGTAGCCAAGTACTTTCAAGATATGCAATAACATGAGATTTATTGGTGTAAGTAAAACAAAATTTTATTAGTAATTCCAGAAGAGCTACCGTGAACAAGATATCGGGATATAGCTATTCTTAAATGTATTTGA